GTGCTCAGAGTAGCATTTTCCCATCGCTGATTTGGTCCCATGTCCCATATCAATTCCATTAGCTATTTATGCTTAAACATGCATACATTTATTTTCTTATACACTCCTATATTTATTAAATGGTTCGATCTATTATGCTCATAATTGTACGAAATGTTTAAAGTAGTAAAACAATAATGCTCTTTCAATCTGATGAACATTTATGATAAATATTTATTCCAAAGTTGGAATTGTTTAGAAATGGTCTAGTATCAATTTTATCAAATTCCATTTACAATTAACATTAATATACCCGATTGTTGACAATATTCTCCATTCCGATTGTTGAATGGTAGTGAACACATAGAAAGGAAGGAAGGTTGTTTTTATATTTCAGTATTATAAGATTAAAATAGAAGTAAAAAAATAGAATAAGTTTTACCGATAATGGATGATGAAATTTCATTTGTAATTAAATAACTCAAGTCTGAGAAAAGTCCTTGACTGAATGGCTTAAAAAATTAAATTATAAAAGCAGGACGGGAAGATCTCATCAAGCAATTAACAGGATTATTTAAGTTAATTCTTGAGGAAAAACTGTAGATAAATGGAAAACTGCAAAGATAATACATTTTATATGTATTCTTATATGTAACAATGATTCACAAAAAGAATTATGGAGTGCATAGTGGACGAACAAGCAAGATTTAAAAAAGATTTTTCTATAGTGGATCACATCCAGACAGATCAGATGATAAAGAAAGCTAAGGAATATAATTTCTCTATTTACCACTATTATCCGGACTTCAAAAAGGCTTTTGACATCATCCTTCCCACTGGCATATTTAAAGTATTAAGGACAATAGGGATAAAGGAGAAATATATAAGAGTACTGCATTCGTCGTGACAGAAAGTAAAAAAGACATGGCTTCTGATTTATGAAGGATGTACATCTTGGATGAGAAAATGTAGGTATAAAAATAAATGGTAAATAGTTAAGGTACATAATAAAGGATATCGTGGCCATTGCCAAATACAGGAAATACTTTATGAAATTTAGGTCTCTGCAAAAAGTTGGTCTCTATCCAAACAAAAAAAAAATTAAATAGCGAGGCTTGCAGGAGAATTTACAGGGAGGGGAAGGAGAGGACTTTCAGGCTGAAGCCCAGTTTAAAGTAAAATATAACCATTTATTATGAAAAAAAAATCTCTAAAAATATTATTATTAGTATAATTACATTTAATAGGACTTCAAGAATCACTTTAACACCATAACGTATAGGTAGTTGAGATCTTCTTCCAAAGTAGTAATCGTTATATATTAGTATTTATAAACTTTTTGGTCTGCGGGCCACATTCAGACCTCGATTAAGTCCCTCCGGCTGCATTGGAACCTCCACTCAAGTCCTGCGGGTCACGTCTTGTGATGAAAACAAAAATTATCTTGATGTAAAGATGGTTGACCGTTGATATAATATGAGGAGTCGAAGGTGCGGTCAAATAAATAATAAATTAAAATATATTAATTATTTTAATTTTTGCCGACGTTTCGACCCACTTTGCAGGTCGTCTTCAGGTCTAACAAAAGATACAAAACATGTTGAAAATAAAAAATAAATATAAGTATATATAAAATAAGAAGAAGTTGTAAGATACAGAAATAAAACGTCGAAACGTCGGCAAAAATTAAAATAATTAATATATTTTAATTTATTATTTATTTGACCGCACCCTCGACTAACTCCTTCTCAAAAAATTATCTTGCTTTATAAAAGACACTTCAGCTGTGAAATGAGCTCTCTAAGAGAGAGAGAGAGAGAAAAAAAAAAACATGCAATAAATGTTTTTAGTAACTTCATGTGCAAGTAATTTACTAAATTTTATATTTTGAAACTTTTACCATGCGCTCAAAGAAACTTCTCGCTGGCCGGATAGAAGTTTCTTACGTGCCGTTGTTTGGAAACCTCTGATAGGAATGAGTGTACCCATAGCCACGAAAGAAGTCCTAATTCAATCCCATTCCGTTTTTGGTGGAACAAATTTTGGTGGGTCAAGTGCATAATGAATAGAAACATAAGTATTGAATTTAAAAGGGAGATGTTAACTTTATTGCAGTGGTGACCTACGGCTGCCAAACTTGGTCATTAACAAAGGCACAAAAGAGTAAGATTAAGCTAAGGCAGAATGGTATCGGAAGAAATACCATCTATATGAAGAAAAATGACAATTTTTTTTTCCAATGCTAAAGTCGTTGGTTATTCAACCATCCCACATCTTGCCCCGTATATATTAGATTTTTTTACATATTCATTTACAATTTTTTTTTTTTACCTTTGTTCAACTTTTCCTTGCAATTATTATTTCTTATATCCGTCAAAGCAAGTAATGTGTCTAGATTCATAGTTAACACCTAGGATCTTCAGCCACGCCCATCTTGTAGAGATATCTTAGCAGATAGTCGTGGCCAGATATATTCTCCAGTCGGCAGCATATATGAAATTTTTGTTGTTCGAAAAACTTCTTGCTCTTCCATATTCTTAATACAGTACCTATCAGAAATATGGAATTAACGCTATGAGTGGGGAGTGGCGGTTAATATTGGCAAACGATAGATACGTATATATATTATTTAAATTTTATTTCGCATTATATTTTTAGTCAATTCATAGTGGCTTACAGTGGTGCGATTCATTGGCTGGCAAGCACACATTCGTTCGACCCGTGGTGCTCTTTAAAAGAGCATTTATTATCCAGAAATGTCACAGTTGGTGTCATATGGATAATTATTACGCAGTTCATAGTAATAAAGAAGCTTAATTTACTTATGAGAAACTACACTTACTTATGAAAATAAAGTAAAAGTGATAAAAATAAATTACTTAATGTGTAGTTTTCTAAAAGGGAGTGGGGTAGCTCAGTGGTAGGGAACTAATCTTCCAATGCTCAAGATCCTGGGTTCGAATCCCGGCACCTGGCAGAAAAATTATTTATTCTGTTTCATTAGCCGTGGGGAGACCCTGGGATTACGAGACCCTCCTGGGGCACACCCAGCCTCTATAAAGTGGCTACCGTTTTTAAATAATTAATTAAAGAGAAAAACCTGGCGGTTGTGCGTAATCTCAGTCAAATCACTTCCTTGCACAACCGTTGACTAAGAAACAGTACTTACCCTAAATACTACTGAACCCAAGACAACCTTCATGGATTTTAGTGGTACAGATTTTTTTTTTTTTCTAAAGTAAAAAATCCTAATCAACCTTAAAAATGGTTCCGCTTAAACATTATATTTGTTATTTAAAAGACTGATTTTTTTTTAATCTTATCATTTTTCAGTCAATTTTTTTCGTTTATAATAAATAAATTTCGCTGTAAATCATTTTTAGTATTTGTGTCCCCAGACATTATTGCTCAGAGAAATCATTAAACAGAGAATTTTACTTTAACTGGCTGTTAGTTACCCTGTATTAAATCATGAAAAACATTTTTTCTTCACATCGGCAATCTATTTCATTTTTTGAGCTATTTTAAAATAGATTTAATGAATAATTACTTTTATTTATTATCACAAGGCTAGGACCTAAAACGTAACGAGGTCCAGAGATAGATAAACAGAGTGGCGACCGATCTGGAAAAATGAGAAAATTCAGGGAATTTTCAAAGCAGGGAAAAATTCAAGGAAAAAGTCAAGGAATTTTTATTACACTGGTCATTATATTGAAATCAAACTAGGGCAATGAATAGAATTTGAGCAAAACGTAATTAAAACCTGCTTTTTGAAAAGAAAAACATAATAATATTATTTGATATTTGTGATATATACATCTGGGTCAAGATCTAGCTGGTAAGAACTCATTTGTTAGACCCGTGCTGCTCCTTAAAAGAGCATTTTTCAACCAGAAATGTCACAGTTGATGTCATATCGTCGGCACCATGTTAAAGTAAGTATTGTGAGCCTATTTAAGGTTGTACATTTTTTACTTTAATGTGGTGACGACGATGTGGATAATTATTATGCTGTTAATAGTAATAAAGAAACTAAATTAGTCATGAGAAACTACATTAATATTAGAATCTCACGTAGCTCAATTTGTTTTATAATAGAGAAGATCATAGCCTTATATGTCAAGTATCAACTTTTACCTTCTCTCAGTTTATTGAAATAAAATTTAAAAAAAGGAGTAAAAATTTAGTTTTCTAAAATAAAAAATACTTACTCTAAAACGTTATATTTGTTATTTAAAAGGCCATTTTTTTTTTTTTTTTTACTCATGTCAATTTTGTTGCCTTTTTTTCATGTATAATAAATACATTTATTTATAAATCATACATTCTTAATGTTTGTGTCCCATACATATTGGTCAGGAAAGTCTTATCAGTTGATAGGGAAAATTCGGAGAATTTTACTTTAACTGTCTGGTAGCCACCCACCCTGATAATATTACTCACAATTGGGAAATTATCAACTCTTTCTTTATCTCCCTCCATTATCTATTTTGGTATACGATTACAATTTTTTCTTTGTCATTCGATTTGCAAGAGATTAGTGGACTCCTAACTTTAGAGGAGGTCGGTCACGAGTCAGGCTGTGACGGATAATTTCTGGTTTATCACTTGAGGTATGTACGTGTTTTTCAATTAAAGGTGTGTTTTTGATACGTTATTAACTGTTTCTTCTTGTATTTTATCTGAATAGTTATTTTTCTGTATTTTGTCAACTCATTATTATGTTGATGATCAAATGCAATTTCCTTGATTCACTTTAGTTTCAGCAAATGTATTTAAAATTTCACTGAAAAATAATTCATAACATCTAACATCTGTTTGTTTGTGAATATCTGTTGCAATAATGATGTAGTAATTTCCGTTTTATTGGAAAAACCTTTCTAACGAATATCACCCAAATCTATTGCGCACTAAAAAATATTTTATTAAAATACTTTCGAATAGATAATCCATCTAACACCTTTAATTTAAATTTGACATATACATATTTTATTAATGTTCAATTTCTGCTTGGACAGGAGACACGGGTGAGGCTGATATGAGCTCTGACGAAGCCCGACGGAGCTCGGCGGTGAAGGCCCTCGCTTCGGAGTACAAGAGCTTGGTGGAGGAACCAGTGGAAGGGTTCCAGGTGGGGCTTGCTCAGGAGGACTGCCTCTTCGAATGGCAAGTGGCCATATTCGGCCCGCCGGAAACACTTTACCAAGGCGGATACTTTAAGGCCAGAATGAAGTTCCCTCAGGTACCTTTTGGATTCTCTTATTGCATCAGTAGTTTGTTATCAGTTGAAAGTTGAGATTTTCTGTTCAGTAGTCTATATAGCTGGCCATTTCGTCAGTTGAGTTCTTGTCTTTTAAGTCTAGTGTGTGGGTTCCATGTTAGTCTTTGGTCTAAGAGAAATCCAAGATACCAGACTCTGTCTGAGTAAGGAAACTGGATGGAATTAAAGTGTACTGGTGGACAGGAATTGCGTCAAAGAGTAAAGGTAATAGGTTTGCATTTAAATTTAAAGATGCTATTTCCTGATCTGAGTGAGATGATAGGATAGCGGTGTCATCAGCAAATGTTGCCAGGAAGATATCGTGATGGACAGGGATATCAGCGGTAAAGAGGATGTAAAGCACGGGAGCCAAGACGCTGCCCTGGGAAACACCGGCTTTAATGGGATAGATATCGGAAAATACTGTACTACAGCGTACTCGAAAGGAGCGGTCAGAGAGGTAGAATCGAAGGATTAGGTATAAGGACTGAGGGAGATGGATTTTAAGCTTGAAGAGCAGTTCGAGATGCCATACACGGTCAAAAGCCACCCGAGCAGTATTGCTTGTTTTCTAGAGCTGCTGATATATGATCAACTACTCGAAGTCCTTGTTGAACAGTGGAATGTTTTTAGGGAAAACTAAACTAATGAGAAGGAAGATTTTGGGATCCTATGAGGAGTAGGATTCATTTCAAACCTTTTAAAAGATTTTTTAAAGCATTGGGAATAGCCTAATTGGTCTATAGGATGTCAAGCTGTTTGGAGGTTTGCCTGGTTTTGAGAAAAGGATAATGGTGGAGTGTTTCCATAATAGAGGAAAACTGGTAGTGTGTACGATGCGATTGCATATATATGTAAGGAATATGACTGCTTTGGATGAAAGTTGTCGTAGGTTCTGAGAGGTCAGGAGATTTACGGGAGATTAGCTTTTTTAATTGAAATTTCACTTCGGAAGGATGAATTGCTTTAGGGAGCAAAGAAAGTGCGATAGGTGATGTAAGGGATTCTTCTACTGTTACGGTGTGTGCGGGATGGGATTCACGATGGGTAATAAAGCATTAAAAAAATAAAGATGAAACTTGAAGATTGGTTATTACTGGTAAAAGTCCCAAAGAATCCCGCGTCGGATTTTATTAATGGGGGAGGAAGGAAGAGAATATCAGGGGACAGAAAACTGATATTTTTTTTGTTTTTAAGAATATCTCAAAAACTATAAGGTTTTACGCAAAGATTGTTCAGTACATTATTAAAGAACTTTAAAATCTCTATAAAAATGATCCTGAACATTTTTTTGTTAAATTCAAAGATTGTAGAGATATTTATGAGATTATATTTATTGTATTTCCGCTGTAATAAAAAATTACCCCAAACTATGAAAATAATATTCTTTATAGTAAATGATACCATTTCGAAGTTTAATTCTTTCTTATTTTTTACATTTTCAATCGATAAATTATTTTTTAAAGTTTTTTTGTTTTAATGATTCTAAAAAGTCATTGTCATCAGCATTGTAATTGATATCTGCCAATGGGGAATTCCGTGATATTGGTATGAAGTTTAGATTGGCATTGATTTCATATAATTAGTATTATGTGATAACAGATCTTAAAACCTACAAAAAGTTACCATAAACCCCAGGATTGATTTCATACAGAGAACCAGGAAACTTCAATTTTGTAATTTTTAAGTCAACTACGTTTTATGTTAAATAAAAAACAAAATTAAAATAATGTTTAATTTAAGTTACAACCAACTACTTCATAGTAAACTAGATAAAATTTACATTAAATGCAAGTAAGTTTTGTCTTTTTTACAACAATTTAAAGGGAGGGGATTTTTAACAAGTTAGACTACATTAAGTTCGGTTTTTCATCAAATCAAGGATTCTTCGCAATTCTTTTAATTTTAACCCCCAAAATGGACCGAAGATACCTCACTTTTAGAACTTCCTTGTTTGATAAGCTTTAAATCTATATTAATTAAGTTGAGGTTGGTGACTAATGGAGATACGTCTCTAATTGCTTAAAAAGATAATCATAATTATGCCGTACTGATAATCTTATGAAAAATTCTGATTATTTATTATCCTATTATTCTGATTATCCTAAAACATTTTGTTTTTGTAATTTTTGCCGCCTCACTGGTGTATTTATTATTTAACTTAGATAAGTTATCTTTAAAAACTTTTGTTGTTTCTGTACGTAGTTTTGCTGTCTAATTTTCGGAGAACTAAAATACTCAATTAAGATCTCCGTTGAGGAAGTTGATTCAGCGTTAACCCAAAGGTTTGTCCTACATTTTGCTGGCAAAATAGATGTCAAGTTTGTGGCATGAATTATTCATTGCTAAGCCATTCTCGCCTTACCAGGGCATTCTCGCACGTATTTTCTACTTGATTAATTTTTAAATTGGTTTATAAACTGTCTGATAATGTCTCTGATGTTTCTGTACTACGTTAATCTAAATCAAGGAAACGAACGCAATTTGAAGACTTATGATACTGGTATATTTAGCAAACAAATATGGATAAATCTATGATTAGTTAAAAATTGTAAACGTAGATGGATAGTTAGAGTACTGTCGCCTATCACCTATCTCAACTAATTAGGTATGCTACGACCAATTTTGTAGCGCGATAGGGGGTGCGGACTGATAGTTGAAAAAAAATCTCTCCGGGGTGCCTGTCCTCCCACAGGGAAATCCTAATCAGTTAAACTTTTTTTCATTGTAAGAATTCATAATCAATTTAATTTATAACGCCTTAGATTCTTGATCCTCGTTAAAGCGAAATAATAAACCTTTTAGTTATTGAAAAAATCGTAATATTATGTGGACAGCTATTAACGGGAAGATTTTGGAATTGGTAAAATCCCGACTAAATGGCTATTGAAGGGTTCATAGTTAAGCAGTACAGGTAATAAAATGTAAATATTGAATTATTTTTATTTAAAGTATTCTATTCATCATCAAATTTGTTACCATAATATATTGCCCATGATACTGGCCCATTTTTATCAAATTATTAACATCCGGCTGAAACATCGTAAATAGCATCATCTCATCGTAACCTACAAATATTTTATTTATGAAAATTCTCGGAATTTCGGCAAACTTTGTCTTTTTAATTAGGTACTAAAAACTCGTAGATACTCATACGCTTTCCACTTGAATCGTTAGATAACTTAAGCACAAAGTTAAGACAATAGGTAGCCTTAAAAAATATTGAGCATTTTGGCGTGACCTACACGCCTAAATTGTCAAAATAACGAGGTTATATAGGCCAAACGGCTCAATATTTTTGAAGGCCATCTTTTTTCATGACTTTATGCTCAAGTTTTCTTACAATTAAAGTGGAAAGCAACTGGGTATTTACGATTATTTAGTACCTAATTAAATATACCAAGCTTGCCGACCTCCAGATTGAAAACGCTCCAATTCTGAAAATTGTCCTTAATATAATATTTGTAGGTTACGATGAGATGAAGCTATTTAGGAAGTTTCAACTAGATGTTAATAATTTAATAATAAGAGGTCAGTACCAGGGACTAATATGTAGTTTTTAAAATTTATTTTCTGAATAAAAAATTTAAATAAGCATTTTCCTAACTCGATTTTTAGGAATACAAATACTTTGATATCTCAGTTCTTTACTGTTTCATTGCAATTGGAATTATTTTTTTAAAAATACTGACACTATCTGTAATCGTCGGTTATAAATATAGTGTAATCTGTTAAACACTAAATGGTCACAATTAAATCTAATATAATCTTCAACCTAATGATTTACACCTAGAACCTAAAACTCATCGATTCATTCAGTTCGTTATCTTACTTTGAATAATTGGAGAGAAGGAATGAGGGAGGAAGAGACTTTCATTATTTTTATTTTTTTTAACGGTTATCGCTCTAGAAGAACAAGAAAGACATTGTGTAAAATGACGATTAAATGATGATTGAAGGCCTATAAAAAAAAATGTAATTACATTAATACAATAAATGTTTTATATCTTTTTCTTGAAACATGCTTAAATTTCGTAGATCTACATGCGCTGTAATTTAAAAAGAATACATATGGTGTTTGTCTTTTGCTTTGGTTACTCGGAAACGAATATGGGTCAAACAAAAAAAATTCTATTTTGGTAACAGATTCAGCTGGAAAGCCCCCTCCACTTCACCCTTCCCCTCTCCAGAAGATCACCTAATGATTTAAGGAAGCATTGGTGAACTGCATTTATTTTCATACGTCAAACAAGTCTTAAGTTACTATTCCATGATACCTACCATTATCTTGACCTTAGTGGAAGTTTGAACCTCATCTACTCCATTTTAGTTTAATCTTCATTCTAACTAAACTTTAGATCATGGGCACAAACTTATCAGGATTTACCTGTAATATATATTTTTATTTTATTGAATGATTTTAAATGTTTTTATGTTTTTTAAAATGATTTAATGTTTGTTATTCCTTATTTTTCGTTAATCATTATTTCTATACAGTAAAACAGAATGTTGGATTGATGAAACCAAATTAGCTGCATGTCTGTTAGCGTTTGCCTTACCTGCATCCTTCTCATTAGTATTTTATTTACAGGACTACCCTTATAGTCCACCGACGATGAAGTTTTTGACAAAAGTTTGGCATCCTAATGTATACGAGAACGGAGATCTTTGCATCTCCATCCTCCATCCCCCAATCGACGATCCACAGTCCGGGGAGCTCCCCTGTGAGCGATGGAACCCAACTCAGACTGTACGGACTATCCTGCTGTCCGTCATATCACTTCTCAACGAGCCTAACACCTTCAGCCCTGCCAATGTGGATGCCTCTGTCATGTATCGCCGCTGGAAGGAGTCCAACGGCCAGGACAAGGAGTACGAGGAGATCATCAGAAAACAGGTGAGCTAGTGATTCCTTATCTCTACCACCTAAGTTATTCTATTGTTTCTGGGTTCGCTATTTTATTATTAATTATAAAGCCGTTTTTGATTTTTTTAAATTCTAATATATAGCAAAAAAAGAAAATGTTTGTCTTTTGAACAAATCACATATTCAGCTTAAACTTTTATTATATGAACAGTGAGTCTCTAAACCTTCTGTCTCAATAATTTGGTTGATTCTATATCTTGCTAAATATTTTATTTGCGCTAAATCAAATTAAAATGACGAATTATTATTATTTATCTTATAAAGGGATGTTACAAACGTAGGATCACCTATTGAAAGAAACATTTTTTGGTGATATTAGGTTGGAAAATATTAGCCCATGTACTGTGGTCCTTGTCAATCCGCCCAAGGAATCTAGAAAAAATATGTTTTATTAAATGTTAACATTTTTATTGTAATTTTTTGTCTGCTGCGAATGGATTTCTAAATTGTGATAAATCAATCGATTTGTTGTTGTTGTTTTTTTTTGTGTAAAAAAAAATATATATTGTCAATTGTGTTAGACGAGCTCAAATGTATAATAAATAAAAAAAAATTGGATCAAGTAAATCGTTTTTATGAAAAATTGTTTCTAATTCGTTATTAGCTTTCTTTATACCCTTGATTACGAATTTGTTTCGAAATCGAAAAAAATAAATTTTTGGACTTAATTCAATGGGAGGATTTTTTTTTATGTCATGTACTGAACCATTCATAACTCCTCAGATTTTTCTCCTATTTCAACGTCACTACAACCGTTGAAAAACCGAATTATCGGTCTTCCAAATCATATCTTATTGCTTCCTTTACAGTTGTTTACAGATATTCGTTCTTCATGGAATCTTTTAAGGTTTTGGGTCGCGTTTGATTTTGTACAGTGCATATACAATGCTGTTCTATAAAGCTCTTCCTATAAAGTCGCCTGATTGGCTGTGTTGTTGAAGAAAGACTTGATGTTGGCAGGTGCTGGCCAGCAGAGACGAAGCGGAGAAGGACGGCGTGAAGGTGCCCATAACGCTGGAGGACTACACTCGGGCTTCGAGGCCGCAGAAGGCAGAACCCGACCCGTCCATCGAGCTTAACGACTTCTACGACGACTTCGACCCCGAAGAAGATGACACTTCGGAACAAGACGAGTCCACCGGCGATTCCTTCTACTCGAAGTAACCTTCCCCGAGGGCTTGTTCTTGTGACCTGTATTATTTCCCTATAAAAACAAGTGTAATTCTTTCCGAATTAATACAGTCAAGAATTTTTGACTATTAAAACAGTTTGAACTTTCAAAATTTTGTTGAAATATTTATTTTAGATTACGAACATTTAATTAAATTCATTTTTTCTTGTTCATCTTTAGGTGATTAGAACTTGTTTTAATACATTAATTATCTCATTGTATATATTTTTTTTGTTTGCATTTATTGATTAATTTTGCTTCCTATTGGCAATATAGTTTATATTTATTAAGTTTTAATAAATGAGACTGCTCAAAATTTTTATCCTATTTTCTTATATTTTTTTAATTGTTTTTTTTCTGTTGAAAGTAGATACCAAGTAGATTTATTTTCTTTCTTTGTAGTGTTGTAATTGTTCGCGGAACCGGAGATGTTTTATGTCTAACATTGAAACATCATCCTGAAGTATCTATGACCCCTTTAATTAATAATCATTAATTGTTTATTTGTACATTATATATGTATTGACTATATATACATTCATAAATGTAATTGTTATGTGATTGTCAGTAATATACTGTCGCTATTTTAATATTTGTAATTGTTTATATTATTGAAATTACAAAATAAAGTTTATCAAAATTTACGATCTATCTTTTTTTTTTAAATGTGTATCACCTACGTAATATATTATTACAAAATTTTCTCAGTTCAAGTGTGCCAAAACCAGTTACTTCAACCCCGTAGTTCTTATCGTCAATGGTCTCCAAAGTGTATATCAAATGGTATGAAAATCACTGCTGTAGATAAAGTGTACACACTTTTTGATGATCCTTGAATTATTATTATTTTTTTTTTTTATCCAAATCCATTACATTTTATATTTTCGTTCTATTATCATTTTCTTATACATACTTATTGGTTTAAGAAAAACCTAGAAAACATGCGGGGTAGGGATTGAAAGTGCAGTTTTTATATTTTTTTGCAGGATCTGTGACAAATAAAGGTTCCATCTGTTGGGAGTGTTTTAAAAGTTTCCATACAAACTGACAAACTAACAACTGAAATTTGTATCAGGAATCTAATATGTGTTAACAGAAGGCAGGGAAGATTGTTGTAATGAATAAAATAAAAACTTTTTCTCATTTGCTTTCTATATTTGGATAAAAACAAAACATGTTTATTCAATGTACAGTTCAGCTCTCCCGTACTATAAGTTGCAGAAACTGTGTTTCGAGAATTGGTGTTTTGTTCCCTTACACTTCCAAATTTATTTTAATTAATATCGGATGGTAGCAAAAAGAAAAAATTATCTCGAATTTAATCAGTTTAGAGTTCACCCTCGGACTGCCAACGAAGCTTAGATACTATGGGAAAAAAGCTTGGATATAACCTTGTTAAAACCTTCCATTAAAGTTGACTTGCAAAAACCCGATTTGGCTTATTGCTTCTTCACTACCGATCCTACCGATTTTAAATACTTTTTTTTTCAATTTTAAACATGGAAAAAAAATTAATTAGACTAATTTTCCTAATAACCGAACTTTGATGAACTACAGCAATATAAATGGGTAAGTATATAAAATTTAATAAATCGCAACATTGCTAAAACAAATCTGATTTTTTATAGTTTTGTCGGAAATTATATAACATTTTAAAAAAATAGACTAAAATTTGGGGCTCTGTATTAACGTAAAGATCCGTTGAAAACCGACAAAATGTATATTTTGTGAGTTAGTCCGCAAAATATTTTTTTTTTACCTTGCTCCGAATCTGGCAATTTTTTATTTTTTTTGATATTATTTAGAGAAATATACTTGAATATGCAATTCAACAAGGAAAAGAACGCAAGAGTCTCATAGGTGTCTTGTTCTTGCTCAAATCATGCAGAATCCAGTCTTATTCCTGCAAAGCTACGAGACCAAGACCTATTTTGGGCAACACTATTTAAGACTACAAGTCTATAGTATGTACACTTTTTTATAAATTTCACTTTTTCAGCATGTAAGTTAAAATAGTGTATTGAAGATGTACTGTATTTCTTACTAGAATTCTCAATATCATAAGAGTGAAGTAAAATATTTTTTCATCACAATTTTAGATCTGTGAACTTAATAAAAAAAAATATAAAAACTATAGTTAATCTTAGAGTAACTATATTCTTTTATTTATTTACAACAGTATCAATATAAATACATCAAGTAAATGTGTATTCAGAAATATAATCTCCTGAAAACGCTTGTTGAGAAACTACCCACTGGTAGCACTCTAAACTATAAATTTAAAAAACATGCATAAGAATTCTTTGATAACGAAGATATTCACATTGATAATGAACTTAAGTAATTAAAATAATTGAAATCGCCTTATTTTATCTGTTGCAAGAACATTTTAAGGTAGTACTGAAAAAATCGGCTCTTTGGACATTGAATGGATGTGTCTTTGATAAAAAAAAAAGCGTCGTCTTTTTTTAATACGAATGTATTTTTCCCATATGGGTTTTAAAAATTTATATTTTTTGAGGAAAGAGATGATTATAAAATAGTGACTATTTTATTTTAAGCTGGTGTTCTACATGTCTTCGTTAGGGCAGGAAGATTTAAACGAATATAGGAAATTATGAGAATTTCGGGATATTTAGATGTGAAATAACCAAAGTAAATAGAAAGTATATAAATATATTAAAAACATTAACAAACATAAACACAGAGTAAACGAAGTATAACTAAGTAACCAGAAATAAAAAATATTTCTTACCTACAATTATCGTTACCCGTTTTATTTTCTGGTTACTTTCTTATACTTCATTAACTCTGTTAATTTATTTTCATGTTTATAATATTTTTATTTACTTTCTAATAATACTGTTTATAATTTTTGTCTAAATATCATTATACTCCTACAATTTTCTATGTAATTTTGGTATCTTGTTCGTCTTAGCCCTGATGAAGACCTGCATAGTTGGATGGAATATTGTGTTAAAATAAAATACTTTTTACTATTTTAGTTGTTTTTTTTTAAGACCAATTATACTATGGTCGACCATTGAATAATCATTATAATATTTTTGTATGACATATTTTTTGAGCAATTGTTTATAAACAATTATATTCATAAGCTTTGCGCATCGTTCTGTCATGTTAACTTCTTGTAATTCTTCAGCTCGGTTTCGCCTACGGTGACGTATAAGATATTCTTTTGTATTATTTTTGTATAGGGCAGTTTAACTTGAAGAGGAAATCCGTTGATTGTGTGCAGCGAACTCAGGATAGCCGGAGCACATTGAAAAAAACCGTCATAACGGATGGCCAGTGGGAGGACATATAGAATATGGTAGAAGGAAGAAACAGATATTGTTAGGGCGAAGGAGTGGTCCATTGTCGAGAGGAGATATATTGGTCTGGCCAACCGACACCTCAAGAATGTGGCCATTCTCCGCCTAATCCGTTCACGGGCCATGGGTCGAGGACACTGACGACCCAATGGCTGTTAGGGTAGGCATTGGCTATTGGGTCAGGTCAATTGGGAGCAGCTGCCTTCCCTCCAGCCCCCGAAGAAGGGGGCTCTTCCCCAATAATTGGACGACTGGGAAACACTTGTAAACCGATTACTTACCTGTTATACCCGTCTCAACAATCTTTACATTTCATATTAGTGGCTTACCGTAGTAATGGTGGACAGTTGAAATATTTCTTACAAAGACTTGAATTGAAAATTGAAGCTGTATTTAAAAATCGTTAATCAAATAATTTTAATTGTAGTCAATGCATCATATCGTCAGATGATTGCAAAAAAACTATTTGGTATTTTATAACCTTATAATCTTGAACCACCAAGAAATTATACGTATTTTTCCGTGTGGAATTAAAAATTGGGGTGATTTTTGTAGCTATATTTTATAAGCGATATATTGAAGGATTTGTTTCATTTTATGAAATGAAATGAAAAAATAATTTTATTCTGGGACTACTATCCCCTAAGAATAATAATAGAGTTACAAATTTATGGGTCTTAGTCTGACATAATAATAAAAATACAAACTAATTTGCTGTTAATTGTTATTTCAATTGCGCAATAGATTGAAATTAAACAGTATACAGATGCAAGTAATTTTACATGTTAGGGGAAGTTTGAATGTTGAGTAGGTGGTTTGAACAGCAGTTGTTTGAAGGAATTTCTGGACGAGGATTGACGCATGGAGGTAGGAAGTGAGTTCCATAAGGAACCAGCACGAATGACGAAGGATTTGCTGAAGGAGGAAGTTTTATGGGAGGAGATGTATAAGTCTATAGGTTGAGACCTTGTATTGAGAGAGTGGATAGAGGAGCGTAGAGTAAAGAGTTCCTGGATGTAGGGAGGGTTTTTGGTTCTGAAGACTTGGAAAAGGAAAACACCAAGGAGGAATTGTCGTCGGGTAGTAGGATAAAGCCACTTCAACTCGGTGTACCATAATGAAACATGTGAACGCCTGGGGATCCCGAAAATGTATCTTATGAAACAATTCATGAGTCTCTTCAGTCTCATTTCCAGCCTGACAAATAGCCCTGCATACACAAACAGCAGTAGTCGAAGTGCGGGAATACAAGGAAGGTTACAAGGAGCTGTCTGGTTTTAGAGGAATACAATCACGGAATCTTAGTTGTTTAAGGGCTGTTATGGATTTTCGGGTAATCTGGGAGATATGGTTACTCCAGGAGAGGTTCTGGTCAAAGGTTACTCCTAGGTTTTTGACTGTAGAGAAAAAATGGATGGGACGGTTATTGAGGTTAAGTAGAGGAAAGTAAGAAAGGGAGCTAAAATTCACTGCACTTACTTACATCCTTCACGCCATATAATATTTGCCAGAATTTATACACTCATGTTTAGTTTTAAAAAAAACTTTAAATTAATTAAATTATTTCAAATATGAATGTTTAAGGAAGCGGCCTGGGGTGTTCAGAGAAATGTTTTCAAAAAAAATTCATAACGTTCCTGTAAGGCATCTTTTTTTTACTAACAATAAGACTCAATTTTTCATAACAGGTTACATCATATACAGGGTGTCGCGTAAGCAGAGGGGAATTTTGATGGAAGTGATAACAGACTTCAAGACCTACAAAAAATAGCAAGAGAAGTAGGAAATCCAATTCTTGTGTTCAGAAAGTCATGTTTTTTGTTGAATAGGACGCAATAACTAAAGAAATATTTAATTTAAGTAATTCACAACTACTCCTCAGTAAACTATACAAAATTTACTGCAAATTAAAAGTAGATTTGTCATTGTTAAAACCATTTAAAGAGGACATTTGAGTGGCTAAACTAAGCTAAGTTCTGGTTTAAAAAAATTATAAATTAATCAATTTTTTTTTATAATCATCCACCTATACTACAGATACAAAAACTACCTCACTTAATAAGGTTTAAGTTTATATTAATTAAATCGAGGTTTATCAGGCAAAAACTTAAGATTCATCTCAGGTTGTATAAAGAAATTATGTGATTCTCTATACAGTCTTGTTGAAGTACCCGGGTTCTCAGCAAAAATGACTACAATTAAATGTTTCAAAGCTTTTATTTCTTGTTTTTCTATGATCTGGGATGTATTCTTGTTAAAATAAATGCCTAAAAAAAATTAGTTATTAAAGTAATAAAATTTAAAATAACTT